TTGGATATTGCAAAAATGCTAGAAAACACTGCTATGTACAGTGTTTTCTCGCTCTGGGTAGTTCTTGGGTGGGGGGGGTGACCCCATATATATATATATGTATATATATATATAGGGTTTATGTTGGGGTCATGTTGGGACAATGGAAAAGCAAATGGAAACTACAATATTACAATAGGATATTTTTGTATATGCAAGCCGGAGCCATCATGGCAGAGTTTCCCAAGGCTGTACATGGGTGTATCGGTTAGTGTGTATCGGTTAGTACGGAAATTTTATTGAGCTTAGAGGAGCATACGAGGGGTCGCGGTTTTCCTTTCAAGGCACTTACCAAAAAGACCCTAGCAAGAGTTTTGAAAAGGATTCGTATTGTCCCATTTAAAAGCGAGACTCCCATGAGACTGTACAACGTATTCTGGGCTCGTAGCCTGTCCAGTGTGTCAGACTGAAACGGGAATTGTGGAGATTGCATGGCATCTTGCAGAGATGCCATGGGACCATAGACTCGTAAACAGACTTTGGAGGCACAGACCCCACGGGTCCATTTGCAGGAGCCCATTGAGTCATGCCTCTTTTGGTTCTCAGGTAGGTTCTGGAAGCATTAGGCCACATTCTACTCCCACCTATTGCGTACGTTTACATCCAAGGTACACATTTCTAGCTGAATTCATTGTCTACTTCAAGTCAATGGCTCGAAAGTCTGGAGTTGGAGACCTGAGAGCTTGTGGCAGGCTCCTGGAGTTTCACTAAGCCCTGCAATTCTATCCTTGGGAAATACCTCGTTTGCGACCGCTCAGGCTCAGGTGCTATCAGCCAGCGCGGCTTTCCTGGCAGCAGGACCCTACCGGCAGCAAGTAACATCGTAGCATGATTACAAGCAAGGCTCTTTGTGCTTAAGCCATGGGTTTCATTGCGCTGTCGCACAGCCCTGGGATTTACGATGGCAATGACTGTTCAGGCCAAACAGGACCAGAATGGGTTAACAAACTTTGTTGACGGCCAGAAATGGGGTCAGGAGTAGAATCCCGGCTAACTCGAGTAGGCAGTGGAGACATAGACCACATCGGAATGCACGAAGACAACCTTTAGGGAAACTGTAGGATTCTGTGGTTCGAAGATGCGATCAGCAGGATTCAGCAGGAACTTTTCAGCCTCTGCACAGCGACTGTTGGCTACGACAGGACATATCTGCGTTTTTCTTATTCAAGATAGTTTACCAGATTTGGTAATCTATCTGTTGACTACGACAAGACATACCCGCTACTTGTTATTCAAGATAGTTTCCCGGCTTTGGTAGTCTGACGTGCTGTGTGGCACGCTCATCAATGACCGTCCGCTATTCATATCGAAAGCATAACCGTAGTAGCAATTCAGACGGCAAGAGCGATGTCATTAGCAGTATAGTAACTCAGTAGTAGGACGGCAGCCATGGCTTACTTTTTTGCAGTCCAACCAATCCTGTGATCGGTTGCTGCCCAAATGAGGCCTACATGAGATGTTCTGGCGAAACCCCATAGGTCCTGATCCAACAAGCTGTTCAATCCCCAAGCCTCGACGGGCACTCTCGGTTATTGTTACTGTGCAACTATTATGAAATACCCCACCCCTCAGCGCATGTTCCCCAACCTGTACTTCTATATTATGCTGTTTCACATTGGTGGGCCTGGCGGGGGGGGGGGGGGGGGGGTGCATCATAAGGGAGAGGACCACCTTCCTTGCATATGCAATTATTAACCTCCAAACCCTCTCTTTTTCGGCACCGCAAAACCTTGAACCGGAAACGCTTGAAGTCGTGTAGTCCCCATGCATCCAAACAACCCAGGCACCTTGCGGGAAGTAGGCTTTCTGTTTTGGCCAGGCCTTGACTCCTCGCGGAGGCGGCTTGGAGCTGCACGGCGGCATGTTGGTAATATTGGGGGGTGACGGCGGGAATAGTGAAGCTCCATGAGAACGATACCAGCTACAAAAGGACGTAAGCGATGGACATGATACCAGTGGAGCTTTCGTTCCTGCACCTGCTGAATTGCCAGCTCAGAACTGCTGCTGCTGCTGCTGCTGCTGCTGCTGCTGCTGCTGCTGCTGCTGGTGCTGGTGCTGGCGCTGGCGCTGGCGCTGGCGCTGGTGCTGCTGGCGCTGGTGCTGCTGGTGCTGCTGCTGCTG